GGTTAGAGCCTAACCTATCTCTCAGGGTTGTTGTGCAGATTAAATGAGGAGGGAGAGAACACATCACCTTGTGCCCCTTGGAGGAAAAATGGGATGTAAATGCAATTGAAATTCATTCATTCATTCATTTACTCACTTACTCACTTCCTGATCAGAAATAGTGAGCTGTTATCAGTTGCCTGCAGGGAGTAAGGCCATTTTGAAAACTGTTCTTCAGAGCCATTTTGATGTTGATGTCTAACTGTCACTGCTCACTTTTTCGCGGAGCGATAGTCCCCACACCAGACAGCGAGTTAAAAGGGAGGATTGTTCATCCCATTCCTTCTGGCCTTTTGATTTCAGAAATAGAGGTGACCTTTCTCATACCCCCTTTTTTGAATAATGACATTTCCAGAGGGTGGTGGTTTGAGGCTCTTGAATCTGCCTGGGAGAGAGAGAGAGAGACGCTGGCGGTTGAGACTTTCTCTCCCAGGCTGAAAGGCATTGATCATCGACGCTTTGTCAACCCTGCGGCTGTAAAGCGAGCAAGGTTCTAAGTAGGCTAACTCATAACTCTGACACCTGGGGATGCTGGACAAAAGCTTTGTCGACTGCTAAATATAGTTTTCCAATGACTCGGCATGTCTGAGTTATACACAAAGGCGCGACAAACTGGGTCATTCAACTGGAGATATTTGATGCATCCGTGGGTAGGATTCTGCCCCAGTCGCAGACATCAAAACTGTGAGTGGGGTGAGGCAATACACTCTTATTTTGTGGGGGGCAGCAGGGCTGGCCATCTTCCCCCCTTCTTAAGCTCCCCTCAAGCAGGTGTCATTTTGCGGTGAAGGTGAACCGCAGCAGAGGAGAACCGCTGCTGCGTCTGGCAAATAAAAGGCAGAATGGAAAAACCATGTGTTACATCCTTGGTGAAAGCAGGGAGAAAGATGAATGGCATACTTAAGATTATTAGGAAAGGGATAATCCTTTTTTGGGGGGTGAAGGGGGGCTTCCAGGAGGCATCTGGTTGGTGCTCTTGAGAAGCAGGATGCTGGACTAGGTGGACTTTTGGGTAAGGTAAAAAGGTAAAGGACCCCTGGATGGTGGAAGTCCAGTCAAAGGCGACTCTGGGGTTGCAGCACTCATCTCGCTTTCAGGCCGAGGGAACCGGCAGCTTCTGGGTCATGTGGCCAGCATGACTAAACTGCTTCTGGCACAATGGGACACCTTGACAGAAACCGGAGCGCACAGAAACGCCGTTTACCTTCCCGCCGCAGCGGTACCTATTTATCTACTTGCACTGGTGTGCTTTCGAAATGCTAGGTAGGCAGGTGCTGGGACCGAGCAACGGGAGCTCACTCCATTGCGGGGATTTGAACCGCCGACCTTCTGACTGGCAAGCCCAAGAGGCTCAGTGGTTTAGACTACTGCGCCACCCGCATCCCTTGGGTACCTGTCTCTTGGTCACTCTTTCTTGTTTGCTCGCCATGTCATTCTTGTCATTTGCCAGCAGGGGGCACTGGAGGAGCAACATACTTTCTCCTCCCCTCAGCTTTGAACGCACCCGGTTGATATTATTCCCCTCCCATCCGCTTGGACGCATCTTCTAATGACATTTTACAACCAAGCACTTGAGGTTGGCGGGGAGAGAGAGAGAGAGAGAACAGAAACATATTTATCAGTTACCTCTCAGTTTCCTTTTCTTATTTACCTTTGATGAAATAAATGACTGGGCACCACTTGGAGTGTATATTGTGTTCTGTGTTATTTTGCGTGTGAAAGTGGAAAGCAGGAATCGGCACTTTAGATAATGGCTTTGTCTGTTGGGACCAGATTCCTGGAACTCATTAGGCACTCCAGTTCCTGCTGGGTGTTTGCAAATGGCTTTGGAAAGGTTCCTGACAACCTCGTTTGGGTTCTCGTTAAAAGGCCCGAGCCATTACCTGAGGACGTGGGTGCATGCCAGGGCAGGTGGCTGAGTGCTGCTGAGATGACTCTTGGGGCAGCCTTATCCCTTGTGCACCCGGTAGATCACTGCAATGTGCGGGAGAGTATCTCCTGCAAATTCCAAAGAACTCAGAAGCTTGTTTTGTAGTACAGTCATACCTCGGGTTACAGATGCTTCAGGTTGCGTTTTTTTGGGTTACGGACCCGCCGAAACCCAGAAGTACTGGAATGGGTTACTTCCGGGTTTCGGGGACCGCACATGCGCGGAAGCGCTAAATCGTGCTTTGCGCATGCGTAGAAGCACCGAAGCGCAACCCGCACATGCGCAGACACGCCGCTGCGGGTTGCGAACACTGCGGGTTGCGAACGTGCATCCCGCACAGATCACGTTTGCAACCCGAGTGTCCATTGTACAGTAGTACCTTGGTTCTCAAACGCCTTGGTTCTCAAAATCTGAAAACCCGGAAGTAAGTGTTCCGGTTTTTGAACAATTTCTGGAAGCCGAACGTCCGGTGCGGCTGTTGGCTATTGTTTCCGGGGCGCCTGCACCAATCAGAAGCTGCGCCTTGGTTTTTGAACACTTTGGAAGTCAAACAGACTTCCGGAACGGATTAAGTTTGGTGCTTTTGTTTTTGCTATTTATTTTGCGTTTTTGTTTTTGAGGCTTTTTCGGTTCATTTGTTTTTGTGACTGTGTGGAACCCAGTTCAGCTACTGATTTATTGTGTGACTGTGGAAATGGATAAAAGCCCCCCATCCAAACAATGACTATCATCAGTGCAGGGAAGAAAAATAAATAAATTTTCATTTTTATCATCTACAATGCTGTCTTATTTATTTTATAGTACAGTACATTGATTATTTCTTTCATTTTATGGATCAATGGTCTCGTTAGATAGTAAAATTCATTTTAAATTGCTGTTTTAGGGGTTGTTTTTAAAAGTCTGGAATGGATTAATCCCTTTTGTGTTACTTTCTTTGGGGAAGCGCACCTTGGTTTTGGAACGCTTTGGTATTGGAATGGGCTTCCGGAACGGATTAAGTCTGAGAACCAAGGTACCACTGTATTGCCAGGTCAAAAATTATGAAACCACTGTCACAATGTGGGCTTCAATTTGCGTGGCCCTTCCCTAGGACCCAACTGCTTCATCCCCTGCCTGCTTACTTCCTCTTCTGGATCCAGTGTTTAATGGGGTCTGGTAGAAGAAGAAGAAGAAGAAGAGTTTGGATTTGATATCCCGCTTTATCACTACCCCAAGGAGTCTCAAAGCGGCTGACATTCTCCTTTTCCCTTCCTCCGCCACAACAAACACTCTGTGAGGTGAGTGGGGTTAAGAGACTTCAGAGAAGTGTGACTAGCCCAAGGTCACCCAGCAGCTGCATGTGGAGGAGCGGAGACGCGAACCCGGTTCACCAGATTATGAGTCTACTGCTCTTAACCACTACACCACACTGGCTCTCTGTGCCTTCTGAGCCTGCTCAGATCCTTCCCCGGGGCATTTGACTCTGTCTTCCTGTCCTCCTCCCATTCCTCCTGATCTGGCCACCCACTCCCTGACACCTCTACAGGTCCACCTAGTCCACTACGATGCCTCCAGCAGTGGCCAACGAGAGGTCTCTGAGAAACTCCTAAGGACAGCAAGAGAGGATGCAGCCATAATAATAATAATAATAATAATAATATTTATTTATACCCCGCCCTCCCCAGCCAAGACCGGGCTCAGGGCGGCTAACAACCGATATAAAAACAAATTGATTGAAATACAGCTTAAGAAACAAGATTAAAATACAGCATTAAAACATTAAAATGCAACCTCATTTCAGTGGAAACTCAAATCAAAAACGTCTCACATTGCCAGCCCCCAGCCCCTGGTTTTCAAGGCTTGCTGTCTCTGGACATGAGAGTTGCAGCCAGATGTGATGGGTAGTAAAAGCAGACCAACTTTCCAGGAATTTACCTTTCCCCTTTTGCAATGGTCTCTGAGCTAGAGGTCACTGCCCAGCCTTGTAAATAAGCCAATGAAAATTACTAGCCTGCCTTTTGTTTTCCACTAGCCTGCAAAGAGGCTAGAAAGTCTGTGTTTCTCTGCTGGCTGTGACCCCGTCCTTCACAGCAGAACTTGAGTGATGCTTGTAAACACAACAAATACCGTTTGTGGAGTTGTTGTTGTTCTTTAGTAGTTTAGTCGTGTCCGACTCTTCGTGACCCCATGGACCAGAGCACGCCAGGCCCTCCTGTCTTCCACTGCCTCCCGCAGTTTGGTCAAACTCATGCTGGTAGCTTCGAGAACACTGTCCAACCATCTCATCCTCTGTCGTCCCCTTCTCCTTGTACCCTTCATCTTCCCCAACATCAGGGTCTTTTCCAGGGAGTCTTCTCTTCTCATGAGGCGGCCAAAGTATTGGAGCCTCAGCTTCAGGATCTGTCCTTCCAGTGAGCACTCAGGGCTGATTTCCTTCAGAATGGATCGGTTTGATCTTCTTGCAGTCCATGGGACTCTCAAGAGTCTCCTCCAGCACCAGAATTCAAAAGCATCTATTCTTCGGCGATCAGCCTTCTTTATGGTCCAGCTCTCACTTCCATACATCACTACTAGGAAAACCATAGCTTTAACTATACTTCTCAAGAAGTCAGGTTGTTGTTGTAGTTTAGTCGTTTAGTCGTGTCCGACTCTTCATGACCCCATGGACCAGAGCACGCCAGGCCCTCCTGTCTTCCACTGCCTCCCGCAGTTTGGTCAAACTCATGCTGGTAGCTTCGAGAACACTGTCCAACCATCTTGTCCTCTGTCATCCCCTTCTCCTTGTGCCCTCCATCTTCCCCAACATCAGGGTCTTTTCCAGGGAGTCTTCTCTTCTCATGAGGTGGCCAAAGTATTGGAGCCTCAGCTTCAGGATCTGTCCTTCCAGTCAGCACTCAGGGCAGATTTCCTTAAGAATGGAGCGGTT